GGTCCAGACTGTCCTCGTGTCAGGGTGTCCAGTGATGTCCGGATCACCGGACAGGTCCAGACACTAGTCCGGAAGACAGTCCGGAAGAGTCCGGTGTCCGGGTCCGCGGTTACCATGGTAAGTTTAATTTACTAATTTTAGACTTTCTAGTTCTATTTCTTACGTTTGCTTTATTTTGTGTTTTTTTTTCTTGCGCAGGGGCCATGCTAATCTTCTCTGTAATAGTCTGTATCCTTCAAATTTTCCTTTTTTTTTCGAAAAAAGAAAGGGCAATGGCCTTGAAATATCATCATTTGAACCGACCGGCCCTCGGTAATTCAGAATTGAAGTATTATTTATTTACTGATCTACTCGTAGCGGAGTTCGATCTCAGGTCTGTATTTCAACAGTTTAGGGGTGTACCAACTGAGCTAGGCCAGTTTGTAGAGTGACAATTTTAAAGCACGTCCCCAAGAACATTTTTGTTCCATTTCTAACAAAATGAACCATTTTGAGTTTAATAATTCCAGCCAATACAGTTTTGTAAGTTTATTAAAGCCCGGACAAAACATCTGAGGAAGATGCAAGACAAGCAACACAAGAAGCGCAGAGACCTTCGTCTCCGTGCGGTAGGGAGGGGGATGCACACGCATACCTTCCCGTTGCCAAGAAGTCAGCTGCATCATGCAGACGGGCGGCAGCAGCGGCCATTATGGGCCACAAATGACGCATCTCCTGTGATCTGGAGGCAGGCAGCAAGGCGATCAAATCGGCACTCTCATCTACACCCAACATACGCCTGGCCTAGTCGGCAACAGCCAAAAGACCACAAAGGACAGATCATCAGATTGCATAATATCAGACGATAAAACTCCAAGGACAACAACAACACACACGTGGTTAACGGGGACCCCCAGTCTTCAGCTCCTGAGTAACAGGTCCAAAACTGAAATTAGGGTTTGGGGGTGAAATTTCATGTTTTTTTTTTTGTTTTTCTTTTTGCCTGTTTTTGTCTTTTGCCTACATCGTCTCTTTCTCCCTGCCTGCCTGTCAGTCAATTGGTCCGTCCATCCCTCGGTCCATTCATCTGTGAATCCACCCGTCGATCCGTCCGTCTGCCTGCCTGTCTGCCTGTCTGTCTGTCTATCCGTCCGTCTGTTTGACTGACTGTCTGCCCATCCGTCCATCCGTTTGTTCGTCTCTCTCTCTCTCTCTCTCTCTCTCTCTCTCTCTCTCTCTCTCTCTCTCTCTCTCTCTCTCTCTCTCTCTCTCTCTCTCTCTCTCTCT